GAAGGTTGCACTTAATACTGGAACTACAAAAATTTATTTTTGAGAATATTATGCGTAGTGACTAAACATTTATCAGCAAACAAACTTTTTTAAACAAGACATTCAAATTAATAATGGAAAAATCAATTACAATCTCAACTTTAAAATCTTTAAAAACACGTTTGTTTAATGAAACTTTAACGTATACCTCAACTAGCGCCACAATGACAGATGATGTCATAGTGGCAAACGCAATAGAAAGAATAAATGTGACACTTAATTGGAGCAGTAAAATTGTTCTTCCTCTTTTGGTGGCGTTTTTCATTTTGATGTTAGGTTTTTCTTCATGGCTAGTTTATTTAGTATGGTAAGTAATTTTGAGTTTAAGATATATTTTAAGGTGACTATCACAAAAGTAGAGGGTTTTAATACTTGAAGAGGGGTCAGAACTTTTGAGATGACTATAAAGATGAGGTTTTTTCTTAGTTCTGAACCCAGCGCTATATCCACTTCATTATTTTCAATATGAACTGAAAAACGTTCGTAGTAAGTAATAATAACAAGTAAAATAACAATTAATAATACCACAATTAATAATACCGTGATTATATTGAAAAAAAATTTTTAACATCATGCAGAATGTTTTGGTTATTTGAACCCCCTAATTTTTATGATTGCGGTTGCATACTTCCCTTAGTTATTAAAACTGCTTAATAATATCTTTACGTTCATATTGAGCAATATTGAGACTATAATGATTTTATTGAGAACATAATAATTGTTATTGCATCCTAAATTATATTGACATTAAATTATATTGAAATTTTATTGAACTAAAATGTAAAAACATTATAAGCATGAAATATTTTATTTTACCTGTATTTAAACAAATAAAATCTAATAAATTAGTAAAGAAATTGTTTACAATAATTTTAACTTTTTTTGAAGTTGTTTTTTTTTACTAAATAGTCTTAATATATGGAATAGTCCATAAATTACGCAAAGCTAAATTTAGCTAAATAAAAAAACAGATTTTCCTCGCAGAGTCTTTAAACCAAAAATCAAAATAGCTCTTTAAGTTCATGTTTTTTTAAGAAGTCGTAGCGCTAAAGTGCAAATGAGCAATTCTTTAAATAAGTTTAGCGTTGCATCATTTATTGACAATTCCTTAAAGTAAAATGTGCACAAGGCTTTTTTTTTTTCTTACTTTAATATGTTCTGTCACTGAGAACTGTTAAACAAAATAATTATAATTAAAGTATAACCAAATATAAGGAGTAAGTTGGTACTTTTTTAGACTCACCCCCCCCCCTCCTCACTTATTTTTTTTTGTAGAATAGCCTGTATTTATATATATATATATATATATATATATATATATATATATATATATATATATATATATATATATATATATATATATATATATATATATATATATATATATATATACATATATATATATATATATATATATATATATATATATATATATATATATATATATATATATATATATATATATATATATATATATATATATATATATATATATATATATATATATATATATATATATATATATATATATATATATATATATATATATATATATATATATATATATATATATATGTATATATTCATATATATATATATATATACATAACAAACAAATAAACATTGCATATGAAATATTTATTTCTTTTATTGTTACTATTGTTAGCAGCCCTATTCATTGCTTTTATTGTTGTCATTGTTAGCTGCCGTGGCGCAGTGGTAGCGCACTTGCCTCAGGAACGTAAGATCCTTGGTTCAAACCCCACCGCTGGGCAAGTTTTACTATTGTAGTAATTTTAAGTAATTTTAATGAAGATACACTCTCTCTGAAATCTACTCGCGCCGGCCCTACTTTCAAAGATGTGTAAGCATCATATCTCCAGCAATGACGACTGAGCTACAAATAAAAGACGTGCATCCATTCTTAATAGAAAAATAGATAACACCATGTTTTCATAACTTGTATATACTCTACAAAATCAACTTGACTCTTCTTTTCATATCTGCTTATGATGAGAGAAGTTTCAGTAGGCTAAAGGTCAAAAATTATCTGTGATCAACAATGACAAATCAATTTCTTTTTAAATTAATTAGATTTTAATTGAATGTGAGCTTGCTGAGAACATTGACTTTGAATTATCAATAAATCATTTTGCTTCAACCCAGCGGGCACAGACGTCCGTAAGACGTCTACACAACGCCATGTAGACATCACAAGTACGTATGATGTTCTTAAGACGTCAAACAAACGTTCTGTACCCACTGGAAATAAAATCTCATAGAAAAATTTTTTATAAACTCTGGAAATAAAATCTAATATTTTTTATAAACTAGCAAAAACGTAAATATCTTTTTTAATGCTTTCTTTCACTAATATTTAGAGTTGGGGTGTTCCGGAATGCAAATTTTGAATTCCGATTGGAACCGGATTAGCCGGATTTGTTAATAAAATTGCGGCCGGAACAAGAATTCTACTTATGTAATCTTTGACCTTCAAGATTGAAAGTGAAAGCCTGCACCTCATCATCATGGCTATATAATTTTACCTATAACCTATTATATATACAAAACCTATTTAATTAATTTGATTCTTGTTTCATTTAAATCTAATATGTTATCTATATGTTGTTGTTTCTTATAATTTTATTTATTGAATGTTTTAACCTACAGAATATTTATATTTAAAGTTATTTCTTTGTTTTCTATTTGTTTTCTATTTAAGTTAAAATTGCAATATCTACATCCTTAAATTATGATTTTTAAAATTTAGGTAACATTTAAAATGAGACTATTCTCAGAGGCAGGTAACATTTTTGACAAAAAAGGAGCTAGTTTGTAGCCCAAAACTGGATAGCAACTCTTTTTGCGCCACAATATTCCTAAACTTCTAGAAACCCTTACATAATTGATTACTGCAAATAAAATTACATTGTGTTTGTTAAGCAATTTGATTTTTTTTACCCAGGTTTACATATAGTTCTTTATTGCCTTGAACGACGATGATTTTTTTAATTTAATTTACACAGTCTGTGTCACATGTTTCAAAAAAAATGGAAAAAATTAAATTCGGGCATTACGGCCTGAAATATAGTAGTTCCGGCCGGAATTCCGGTACATCCCAATTCATAGTGTAAATACATTTTTTAATAACAAAACCACTGCAATAATATCTAATAATGTAATGAATAAAATAAAATTGTTTATTTTTTTTAATGATAGCTGTTAACCAAAGTAACCTTAGCAAACTCAAACTTTAGATCGTTTAGTGTCTTAGACTTTATCAATAGTGGCGGGATAGCTCAGATGGTTAGAGCGTCAAAGGAAAAGTTGAAACCCGGACTGTTGAACGATACGAGTTCAAATCCCGCTACCGCCAACTCAGCGCTTGAGTAGTACTTCGGCACGCAAAAATGTTGGTCAATAACGGACGCTACTTTGGATTAGTCTTAATGACTATTAGTGGCTGTTCCTATGCTAAGCCAACAATATCTTCGGATATAAGAACATTGTATAGAAAAATATAGCATGAAAACTCAAATAAATAAATATATATATATATATATATATATATATATATATATATATATATATATATATATATATATATATATATATATATATATATATATATATATTCATATATATTTATCACAAATGCAATTCTCGAAAAAAAAAATGTTTCTAGAGATTCAGGTGCGGATGCAGCATTTGTTGATGTTTGAGATACCTAACTTCCAGACATGTGGCAAAATCGTAAAATTTTTATGTTTATAGGGGAGTGTTGCCTTAATTGCAACAATTTAGGAATAAATATTTATTAACCAAAGATGGCTTAACTATGAAAACATTTATGGTTTGATTAATACAAACAGACATCCCTACTATACTTATAACCACAATTTGACTTAATTGATTGCACTGTTATTGGAAAAAAATTTGTTTTTGCAAAGATGCCATTTTGTTCCACTCAAAGCAACTGGTTCCCTAAATTGAAAACACTTTGATTCCTTAATTAAGATTGGTAATTTTTTTTAAAAAACCCTAGTAAAATCCACAAAAATTGGTTAAAAATGATTTTTCTCTTTACAGTGAAAATTTAAACAATTAATTCAAAACTCATTATAAGATTAGTACTACCCTGACAAACTTTAAGTCTACAAACAAAAAGTTGTATAAAAGCTTCAACTGTTATGACGTTCTCTTAATTTATAGATTAAAAATCACTAAATAAAGTATTATTTTTAAAGTTTATGGTTGTTACTAAGTATTTTTTAATTGCAGTCGAACTATTTTTACAACCCTTTAATTTTATTACTGATTCGGTTTGAAAAACTTTAATGTTCCAATCAAGGAAACTTCGGACTATTTTGTTATATCACTGCAATAACATGCTTTCCGCAACTTATAAGATAAGTTTATATTGTTATTTTGCATTTTAAATCCCATCAACTTAGACACAAAAAACCGTATAACCTATAAAACCATAGTTTACCTAGCGCAATCAATATAGTGTGAATGCAAAGTTAGATCCCTGAAAAAAAAATGACGTAAAAAAACTTTAAATCAATGATGCAAATGCATTTTTTGAGGAATAACTTTCAAAATGTGTCAAAACGTAGAAAATAATGCGTTTTACTAAAAAAAATGTAAAATATAGCCGTAATTCATTTTTTTTTCAAAAATAAATGCAAGTGTTCCAATTAAGGCGCTATTCCAATTTCGGCAACTCTCCCCTACTTATATCAAATAAGGATGCTTTGCAAAAAATTGCAATGATTCGAGCCTGGGAACAAAAAAGCCGTTAAATATTAACCACACCTGTCCCAAACGTGAGTGCAACAAGTTGATAAAACAATTTTTATACTATTCTTAACTAAATCTATATTCATTGATAAACTTTTAAATTCACGCTAAAATATTTCAGCGTTTAAAAACTATGACCATAAAAAGTTTGAAACCCCTCAATTTGAGGGGGTTACAAATTTTAAAAGGCCATAACTGTTAAATGCTAACAGATTATTGTGTGATTTAAAATCATTGTGTTTTTTATTTAAAATTATTGTGTGTTTTAAAATTTTTCGATGAATATAAACTTGGTTAAGAAAAGTAAAACAAATATTTTATCAACTTGCTGTTTTCACGTTTGGGGCAGGCGTCGCTAAAATTTTAGGGCTTTTTTGTTCTCAGGCTCCAATCATCGTAATTTTTTGTAAGAGACCCTTATTTGATATAAATATAAACATATAAATTTTTCGAGTTTGCCCCATGTCTTAAAGTTAGGTATCTCAAACATCAAAAAATGCTGCA